TCAAGGCCAGTTCAAAACTTCAATCCACTCCTGCTTAGACAAGAATATCTTCATGTAACTATGAAAAATTCAGCTATCAGTCCTTCATCACCTTAACGAAGTAGAGTGAATACATAAAAGATATATGATCTAATGGTAGGCTTGAAAACCTACTTATAAGCAGAAGACAACTATACCTATCAGCTCTTTCGTATCCTTGAAAATGGTACGTTTTTTCTAACAAATATAAGGTAGGCATGAAAAATTGACAACCAAATCATGGGAGGCTTTATTAGGATCGCAAAACTAGGCACAAGGAGTGGGATTGCAGTCGTCCACTCTTACTTCTGGCCGTGTTATATTTGGTGTGTTTTTCTTCGTAAATTTTGGTTTCTCGGTCTGATGATGTCTGTCCCATAACAGACGAAAACTTAGCACGAGTTTATCGAAGTCGCAAGACTGAGAGTCGAGAATTTTCTTTTAAAATCCAACAATCTTTACTCCAAAGCAATCCTCCTTCGGTTTGCAGTTGGAAGAATTCGCGAATTCCTTTCAATAAACTTTTCCTTACCTTTGCTTCTCACAAAAAGGATCAAATGGCTCGTTGCCAACGCGCCCTGAACGAGTATCTCGAAGAGAAGAGAGACGCCTTTCCGCGTTTCTACTTCCTGGGCGATGACGACCTCCTTGAGGTGCTGGGCCAGGCGACGAACCCCAGCGTGATTCAAGCCCATCTCGGTAAGTTGTTTCAAGGCATCAACAGGGTTCGCCTCAGTCAGGCGTCGGGAAAGAGCCAAACCACATCACTTGCCGAGGCAAGTGACCAGAGCGACGACGAGAGTAGAGACAATTGCAGACTCACTCAGCTAAGCCACCCACCAGGCGCCCCAGTACCTGGAACATCTCTACGAGTTGCCGGCACAGATGCGGATTTCGCTCTGAAGGCCATCGTTTCGGTGGAGGGCGAGGTGGTTCCACTACTGAAGATAATTCAGGCAAGTCATTCTTCCTCAGTCACCTACGACTCCCGGCAGTCGTAAAAAGTTCCTATTCCTGGTTCATTATGCCCCTCTGTACAACCTGCAGCGCCTCTCAAAAAAATATTGGTTGATCTTGAATAATGACTCGAGTAAGCTTAATTCGTTGAGACTGAAGGTTGAATTTCGTACAATGAAATGAAGAGGCCTTGCATCTCAAAAGATTTTATAGTTCAGATAGAACTTCAGTTTCAACAACGCCTTTCCTTTATCTTGACTCTGAGTGGGTTTTCGAAATCGGGTCGTATACACTATCATTCCTCAATGCAGCCACAAATGCCAATGGGTCACGGGGCAAATGCCAATTTCGAGACGAGCCAAGTTTGCCTCTTTTGAGTATAAGTAGTTTTCGACATTATTACACAATATCTACTCATCTGATTGTGGGAGAACTTATCTACCAAACCTTAAATCATCTTGGCTGACTAGTATCTTGTCCACATTTTTACATTTATATCAGTACTACAAAGGATAAGATAAATCCATATTTTCCCTAATAATTGTAGCACCACTTTAGGCTGGTTGATTACGTTTTAAAGACTTTGATAGATCTCTACTAAACTCCAAGTCCCCGCAGGTTGTTTGAAGTGATTTAGAGACTAATAGTCTAAGTTTCCACTATTATATTATTAGCAGTCTTTACATTTGAAAGCTTATGCAAAATTCAATTGCATGTTTATACCTAATTATCATTCCATTGTGGAAAATTATATATTAGTTCTTTCTCCCCGCAAACCGCCTAAACTGACTAGAATTCTTGAAATCTCGTATTTATCATAAGGAGGTTTTCGTGAGTGTCAGATGAACTGTAGTCACTCTCTTGGCCGCTTAAAGCTATGAAGAACTATTAATGAATTTTTCCATAATTATATGAGTATTCCTGACGATACCGAAAAATTCCACTCGAAAATGCCCCTACAAGTTATTCTCATCACTGAAGTAAACTTTAAGCCCCACTTCCATCTCATTGGTATCACCAGCATAGCGGAAATATGTCAAAAGTCCCTGGTTCAATTACATGTATGGGTGCTTGTGGACCCAGGCAAGGTCGAAACCGCAGTCCATCTCAGCTGGGGATACCTTTTGGGAGGCAGAGTCAAATAAGCTTCATTGGCATCATTAGGCCTAATCTTATCATTAAGAAAAATTTCGCTTAACGTCCTTTATCACCTTGAGCGACGTAGGGTGACTATTATTCTCGCTTTTTAACCCGCCTTTAAGACTTGTAAGATTCCATTAGAGCCGAATTTTTACAATCTGTATGCGTCATGACTATTTCCTACCCTCTTTAAGAGTGTTTTCGAAAGATATGAAGAGAAGCTGGGTTTCGTAGAATCCCTCAATAGATTGATACTGGCGCACCTTTCCTTTTGTTTAAGAAGGCGGGTCAAAGGGATTCGTAGATTGATCGCACTGGATACCGCAAGAGGGTTGGCTTGGACATTTGTCTGTTAAATTGTGCAAAGAGGACCTCGGCTCACAGTCTTGTGGCCTCGATGACCCCTTGTTGAGCTTTCGTCCATCCTGTGACGGACATCGTTAGAGCCAGAAACCATTATTCATGCAAAATCACCAAAAAATACCAAACCGAGAAAGGGTGGCCTCACTTTGCTATCTTAATGCTGACGTATGTGTGTCATACATGTATGTTAGTGGATCAAAGTGATGCAGACAAGGGAGTGGATGTACTCACAATTTTCGTCAATGTAAATAAACTAGAGTATGATATAATTGTCCTAGTTCTTGTTACCGCTTCATGGATGCATGTTTGCGTGTTTGCGTGTGCATTTAACTTTTCGAAACTCATAAGTTTACATAAAGATCAAGAAACTAATGGCCAGGCGAGTTAATCACATTAGATTTTTGAACTTATCTAATTCGCATAGTATTTTCCCTAAGTTTTGTATTCTAGATAGACCTAATTTGCGAAATAGAACTAAAAGGAATCTTATAGAAGTATCTCATGATTTGATTAAGAAAACACTTCTTCAAAACATTACTAGATAACATAATTTGATCAGAACAAAATTCCAGACTAAGGCAAGTTTAGTCTATTAACCCTGAGGATTTCCTGAAGATTCAATCAATGACTGACAAATAATATGATGTTGTATTTCGTCACGTAAAAAAGAATCCCGATACGAAGTTTAATAACCTAGGAATTATAATTAGATCTTTGCATAGCAATCGGAATTCAGCCAGAGGAGAAGAGGAAATGAGGATAGGTCGGTTAATACCTGTCCAAAATATCACTGGACAGTACTACTGAGGAACTTTTATCTAGAGGTGTTAATTATGCTTTGCCAAATAGTAAGAGCTTCACTGATGAGATTTTAATAAAGGTTATTAGCTTTATTGACCGATTAGTTAAAGAACCAAGAA